AARKTYCMARRAGTTGTTAGGGTCGGGCAGATGTTGAGTTAACACAAAACATAAACAAGAACTTAAACTTGTTCTAATAAAATAGAAGTTTTTTTCGAGGGATTAATGAATTCTACTAATTACTTTTATTTAATTTCATTATTGGTAAATTACGTATCTCATTAATTTTATGTGAACGACTTAAATATTTTACACTGAGTAACGAACTATTAAAATATTTTGTAAGTAGTACCTAGTTGAAGTCTTTAAACATTTTTTATTAATTTTTTTTCAATTTATTTRTTTYTTAATTACATAATTATTATATTTTTTTAAATATATTACATTTTGGTATATATTGAGACTTAGTGATTCGCTATTACAATAGTACATTTTTAAAGAATCCTATCATTATCAAGACGTGTCAACAATTTAAAATTATTTTTGTGGACTGATTTTTTGTTTACCAAATGYAAACTCTGTACAMATTAATCAATACATATTTGAATGAACCTATCAAAAATCTGATTAAAAATAGGGACTATTTTTAAAGTTTTAGTGTTTATCCTTGCTTTYAATTTTAATACCTCAAAACAACACTTAGACACATTGAGACACTTAACCAAACATTTACCCCACTCAATTTGAAGTCAAGTATTATGAAATGTGCTACACACATGAATGGATATAAATAAAAGTACTATTAATTTTAATTTGAATGTAAAGTTTTAAATCTATTTGTTAGTAATTTAATAATGTACCAACAATATGCAGATAAATCAGAGTTGATTTTTACTTTAATGTTCACTCATTTCAATTTCAATAATTTTATTTTATCCCAAAAWTGAATAGCTGTTCATACTTGTCACCAAATTTTGATGTTAATAATTCATATAGGTACCTACATGAAAAATTTCCAAAAAAATTTCCAAAATATTTGAACATTTTTAAAATATTTAAACATTTGATAAAAGTCTAAAACTATTAAAAATAAATTGGAAAGATTTTTTTACGAGCGTTTGTAGATATATGTTGGTGAAATTAAATATTTAAACGAAATCAACAGATTAAGTTATATTTTGTTGTAATATAAAATATTATCAATGCCACTTAGAACTTTTCGCCACTATGTTATTATTTAYTACCTATATTATATACAGTGCAATTTTCAAAATATTTATAGATTTATAATAATTAATCTATACATTGATGTTTCTATATTATACTACAGCCCGATCGATACTGTTTTAGTGTTTTACGAGCATCAAARTGCTAGACTTATAAATCAATAGTAAGAGTACAGTGAAACCTCCTTTAACGGACACCTCTCAATAGCGGGCACCTACAAATAACGGACGGAATTTTGGGAACGGTGAAATGTGTACTCATTATATTTCCCCTCTYAGTAGGGGACACCTCCARATAGCGGACGACGTTTAAGCGACCGAGAGTGTTCGGTATTTAGAGGTTTCACTGTATAATACTTTATGGATAATTAATATCAATGTATAACATTATAATGAAATGTCATTGGAAATATAAGACTGGCTGGCTTGTCTGAGTTCAAAATCGTGTTTAGTTTCTAATATCCGTGTGTTAACATCTTAAAAACAATAATAATGCGCAGAGYTATCATAATACCTTTAAACGTGTTTCAGGTGTACGGTAGAGTCCAAACAGAAGTGGTTTAAAGGGAAGAAACGCAAAAATCTCAACGAAAAAACCACACACGAATCTCAAAAAACAAAAGAAAAAAATATAAGGAATAATCAGGACCAGGCCCGGCTGAAAATTCGGTTGTCCGGCATTGCATACGACGTCGGTGGTGAAGGAGGTGGCGGCCACGTGACATCCATTGCGACGGCGACAATGGCGGCGATGAAACGCGCCACTAGCAGCGTTTTCACTCGTAGCAGTCGGCCGGTGAGTAGTGCGTAGCACGCTTCGGAGGCCATGCAAGCGGGTGGCGTGGCGGCGGCTCCAGCGCCGGCACCACCTAATGGGTACGGAACTCAGCAGCAACAGCAGCAACAGATATTGTTGCAGCAGCACCACCAACAGCAGTTGTCCAACAACTCGCCGGCGTCGACGGCAGCCACCGGCACGGCCACCACCAACAAGATACTGATAAACGGCGGCCGGTTTGACTTCGACGAYGGTGGCACGTACTGCGGTGGCTGGGAGGATGGCAAGGCTCACGGGCACGGAGTGTGCACCGGTCCTAAGGGCCAGGGTGCGTACTCGGGATCATGGCACTACGGGTTCGAGGTGTCCGGCGTCTACATGTGGCCCAGGTACGTAGCGTGTCCAAGTTCCACCTTTGGGGGGTTTATTTCATCGATAATATTAATTATAAGTTTACTGGAAAAGAGGCTGTCGTGGGGTATTAAATCTAAAATGATCGATGGAAAGGGCTAGAGAGAGTACTTAGGATCTTGACACTTTGGGTTCGAGGTGTCCGGAGTCTAAATGTCGTCACCCAGGCACGTAGTCTGACGAGTGGCCACCTTTGGAGGTTTCTAGTCCTCTTATTAGGGAACTCAAAATCTAAAACGAGATAATTATAATAACGATTATTAGTTGTTAGTATAAAAGAGTTACGATACAGCAGTACAAGTATATGAAAAACAATAAAATGTGTAATGTAAGTACATTTCTTTTCGTTGGAGTAGAATCGTTTTTGAAGAAGAACAAGAACAAGAGCACTGATGAAATGTAGATTACTTATATGAGCAATGTAAAATATAAGAAGAAGAGAAAGAAAAAAATAATTTATTGATTTGATTCATCTTT